TGGCTGGATGGATTCCATCTGGCCCAGCAGCTTTGTATTTACACAGGGTATGTAGCCCTCCCCTGACACTTTCTTTGTTCACCCACAGCTCAAATAAACCCGGTGAGCTATAGTCTCTCTGCCAGTTCGGGTCATCCTGGGTCTCGAGTGGTAGGCGATATATCCCCCTTGTATGCTTCCAGGAGTGTCCTGGCCTTTTCCCGATCTGTTAGTGCCAGCTGGCCATTCAGACCTTCTAGTGCAGCCACAGTTTCCCTCATTCCCTTTTTAGATTGTACGTAGGCATAGAATCCCTTTGGGTTCGCCTTGGCTGACCTACGCTCGGAACAGGTCATGTCAGGTCAGAATGCACAGGACTGGTAGTGGCCACAGGCCAATCAAGCGTCCAGAATTCCTTCGGTGATGTGCTCACGAGTGTGCATCCACCTCTTCAAATGATGGGTTTCTTCGCCTATCTCGAAACAGAGAGAAATAGAAACCTTACTTCTCGCCGTGTCGGCGAGAGACAGGTTAGGTCAGGTCGCAGGACTAGCGGCTGATGCCAAACGAGCGTCCAGTTTCTTGTGCAGTCGAGCCCCAATGTTCTCAATGCGCTTCGACAGCTTTCGAAATTCTCGCCCTACTAGTAATGTTTTCTTTAGTACGATCCAGTAGGGGCCACTTGAACGTTTATCTGGAAAGAATTGGTACGAGCGTGTAGCACGAAAAAGACAGACAAGATTCACCTTAGACTACGCCTGATTACCCTCGCCCTTGATTACGTGTCACCTTCTTAATACCACCCGACGTAATTGTACCTTTAGCCACTCACACATTCAAAGATATTCAAAACACCTCCATACCTTCCTTATGCCCATGCAGTTCTGTGTATATATTTGTGTATACTGGTAACCATCCTTCCTTGTCTCAGAACGAGAACGACAGTAAGACGCGGAGTGCTTAGCGAACTTTCTGACTATACTCACGTATGTTAGAAACAGGGTCCAACCGAGTCTCCTCTGGTCACTACCTAAGGTTCTAGTCTCACATGCAGTGGGGTGGCGACCTGGTTTTTCAGGTTGGATCAGTTGGAGGTTGGTGAAGGAGGATTTATGGACCCTGATCCCAAACAACATTCAAGGAAGCATTCATACGTGAAGATCATTAATCATTGAGTGAAGAAGACTTCTAATGTGAATGCGTTCCATGTTGCATGCAGAAAAAATGTTGTAAACTTAACGGTCACATCCTGTTTGGAAACAGTTTTAACCACCTCTTATCTAAAGCCAGTTTGAAGGCGTGGATACTAGGCAAGTTGACTAGTTCCTCAGGTAGTCTATTCCACCTATTTACTATTCTAATGCTGAAGTAGTCTTGACGTATTGAAGTCTTGAAGTGACTCTCGGGTTCGAGGCTGGCACCCAGTGGTCCCGGATCCTTGATGGTTTCTTGTCGTCTGTTCTTGGAGAGTGCAACCTGAAAATCAGATAATACTGGAGGGGCAAAATATCGTTATGCCCGGGGACTGGCAATGCTAGTTATACTGGCAACATTATTTATAAATGTAACAATTTGCTATAGTTAGTGGGGACAGACATAACTAACTAGAAGGGGGCTACCGTAAATACAGAAAATAAAAAGTGGTTTATTTGTTTGTTTTTTTGTTTCTTTCATTTTTTGTTTTTCTTATTTATGTTTTATCTTTTTGAATTTCGAAGGAGGACTCAAGAGGAGGCAACTAGACCTAGATACTTATCAAGTCGAGACTTGAATGACGCTTTGCTTTTGAAGGACTATCTCTTCTGGCAATGCGTTCCAGTGAGTAATTACCCTGAAGGTGAAAAAAAGTGCGAAGTGTGGTTCCAGGTTAGGGTTTGTACAGCTTTTTGCTATTACCCCGTTGTGGTGATCCAGGCCTACACAATGACGCCTACCCTGGAGCAGCGCGTCACAGTTTCAGGACATTGGCGATCAATCAAGTTTGAATGCTGACGTCAATAGCACGTGCATAGCTTCTGAATACACGTCATTAGCGGATGGTGCCAGCCAATCCCAGACAAGACAGACAGAAGCAAGATTATACAAGCAGTGCTGCAATCTAATTGGTGGATGCCCAGATAGTCAATAATCTCCCTTTGCACATATTATTTAATCACCTTCATTTCTTCCAATAAACGAACTACTTACTGCCTGTCCTCTGGCCTTTTCCTCGCATCTCGTTCTCGTGGGACATTGCTTCTGCGATCCAGTCCGTGATAGCTGATTATCGATTCGGGTCCTGTAATTCATATTGCGTGGTTGGTGTTCCGAACTCCGTGCGTATTACTACTACTACTACTACTACTACTACTATTACTTCTACAATCTTTACAAATTTGCGTCGCGTGATGGAGCTCCCAACGATTGAGCAACTGAACCTGCAAGCAAGTCCATCCGAGACCTAGGAATGGGTTGAACGGTTTGAGCTGTGGTGCAGCATTCGCAAAGGTGGTACACAGAATCAGTCAGCCTTATTTCTTACTGCTGGTGGCCGCGACCTTTACTCACTGTTGAGAAACCTGGCGTTCCCTGAAGCTCCAACCAAACTACCATACGGGTCCCTGAAATCTCTGCTGCTCAACCACCTGCTTCTCACTGAATTCCAAGCACATGAAAGGGCTAAATTCAACTCCATGATTGGTGCCGATCATGTTTCCTGCCGTGCATTCATCATGCAACTGAACAAACAAGCATCACGTTGCAGCTATAGTGATCGCCTGGAAGAACAAATGTGTGACCGCATCAATAATCTGACTCTTCAACGAAAGTTGCTAGAGAAGAAAGATTTAACTTTTGCTGATGCCCGCAAGATCTGTGAGCAACACGTCGAGCTGATGAAAGCCACTTCCAGCGAATCAGTCACATTATTCCAACGGCAGATGACACGACCAAACCGACCTCCATTGCCCACGAGTGTACCGAAGCCACAACACGACTCTTCAAGCAACGGGAAACGTATTAACCCCTTCAAACAGCCCCGTTGCAGCCTTGCACAACCTGCTGCGAATGACACAAATCTGGTGCTCTCTCTACGATCCGAAAGCCAAAGCACCCAATTCTTATACACAGATGTGACATTTCATTCCGCACAAGGCACAAATTCATTGTTGATACGGTAAGCATGGAATCTCATTTTTATTGCTGTGCTTCGATCAATCTGCCACTAAGCCGAAATCCATCCAAAATCCGTGCGAATCCTTGGGGTGACTGAACACAAATCGCCATTGCTTGGTGAGGTTTCATTGATGGTACATTCCAAAGAACATCGCCATGTTCTCATCCGCTTCCTAATTGCTAAAATCAGTCCATCCGTACTTGGCCTAACCGCCATTCGTGAATTGAACCATTGTGTGTCACTCCATACAAACTCTGTGTCCAATATGCACACCCATCTACAGCACCTGGTCGTGAAATGTTCCAATAATACGAGAGGTATGAACTTGCAGCCGGCCAAACTGGAATTTGATGGTAAACCCATTTTTCTGAAACGACGTGTAATTCCCTACGGCCAACGTGATGATGTACTGCAGGCCCTTGAGAAAATTGAGCGCGATAGCATAATCACACGAGTCACATCCAGTACGTGGGCAACACCAATCGTGATCGCAATCAAGAGTGACGGCAAAACTCCGCTTATTTTTGGCGACTACCGCTTAACACTCAACCCGCGGTTGCGCTAGTGTGTAGCTCCCACCATGGAACCGGAGTATTTCATGAAAGCATTGCACGGTAGCACATGCTTCTCGAAGATTGACTTGGCTGATGCATACCTCCGGATTTCACTCGCACCAACCTTCCGGCATTTCACCACTATCAACGCACCATGGGGACTGTGTCAATACAACTTCCTACCGTTTGGTCTCCGCACATCCTCCGGCATATTCCAGGCGGCAACTGACGAAGTCATCCGCGGACTCGATGGCGTGTTAGCAAAACCAGGACGATGTCATTGTATTTGGCACAACGAAGGCCGAGCATGACGATAGACTTCTCAAACTACTGGAGCGGTTCGCCCTAAAGAACGTGGGAATTCGCGCCTCAAAATGTATGTTCAGCTCACCAGAAATGGAATTGTTGGGTTTCACAGTAGATGCTAAAGGCTATCGCCTTGATCCAAGTCGCTTCCGCCCATTGACTGAAATGGAGTCACCAAGAGACCAAAACCAACTCAGATCTATCATGGGATGTCTCCAATACTATTCGCGTTTCATCCCAAACTTTGTCACAAAAGCCCAACCGCTGTTTGCTGCTCAGTCGACTACGGAATGGAAATGGACTAACGAGTGTGAACAAATTCTGCGTGAAATCATTCAGATGATAACTGACCGACCAATACTCACCTCGTTCTC